ACACACTGTTATCTACTCAGGTACCTGTCTAAACAGAGACTCATACACCAGTAGCTATCTGTCTCTATATACACAGATATATGTCTCTATTTATGTATATCCCTACACAGGTATACCTAACTAAACATAGACACCAGCATGTGTGTACACACACACAGAGTATCTGTCAAAACACACACACACACACACACACACACACACACAGAGTATCTTTCAATACATAAATTCAGGTTAAGTGCATCCATAGACCTATAACCATATATTCTATTTATACACAGGCACATAGACATATATCTACATGATTTGAAGCCTGAAAGCATGTGAAAATTAATAAAATATTAAGCATAAGAAAAGCCCTGAAATCAGCCAGAAGAACTGATTGGTGATGCACCCCCGAGGCTGCTCATCACATCGCAGAGCAGACACGGAAGAGGAAAGCCCTCTATTTAGAGCCCACAGACTCCGCACAAACGTGGGGAGAGAATTTCCCAACAGCTTCTGTCAAACACATTAGTGGGATGCGGGCTGACTGCTCGCCCACGCTGCCAGTGTGTCGCCAACACACCGCGTGAGCTACAATGTGATCTAGAGAGTGGGTGACAGTCTCCTTCAGCTAAAGAGGCAAGATCAGCAGCTGGGGCTCAGCCCCTGCCCAGGGGCAAGACCAGCAGCTGGGGCTCAGCCCCTGCCCGGGTGCCAGGAGAGCAGTGCCTGGGAGGGGGAAGCACAGCTGCACTGTTAGGCTCCCAGGGGAACCCAGGATGGTTTTATTGGAGTGTTGCAGAGCAGCAGGCAGAGCATGGTGGGGGGATGCCCATTTCTAACCCACACTCTTCCATAGCCAGAGAAGAGACAGTGTAACATCAGTGTCACTTAGCACAACACAAGGCAGCCGCTTTGCCTCCACCCCCAGTTACAGCTCTCATGGCAAGGAAGCAGGAAAAGGCTGCGTGGGTACTGGGTTCATGCAAGATGTCTGCAACACAGCAGCAAGGCCAGTGGGCCTGTGGGGGAGAGGCAGGACTGTGCTGCCAATCCAGCCCACCCCTGTTAGCAGATATCAGCCGCCTGCATAAAGTTGCTGACCCAGCTTCATTGCTCGTTTTCCCACGGGCAGGTCAGCGAGAGCAGAGGCTGACAGGCTGTGACCTCCATGTGAAGGAAACAGGGCAGGTTGCTGTAAGAGCAGCAATGCTTGGGGACAAGGATTTATTTTCTGTTGTTTCTTACTGGAGTTGCTCAGGAAAGGGGAACTTTGGCCTTCCCAGTGTGCCTAGACTTTATTTAGAGTAGGGTAGCAATGTCACCTCTGCTCGTCCCTCATCTCTGCCAGTCAATATGTTTTAGTCCTGATCTACTGGCTCCTACTTTTATTCTACTCCAGGGCCCTACACAGCTAAGCCAAGGTCCTACAACCCCTGCCTGTATCCCCCCAGATAGGCCAATCCTATCCAAGATAGAGGCCCTATTGCCACAGCATCCAAGAGCTCCGGGAACATTTTTAGTGTACTTCTCCTCCCAACCCCACATAGTAGGGCAATGTCCTTATCCGTGATGGGGAATGGAGGACCAGAGAGATCAAGGGCAAGCTGCTAAAAGTATTTGACTGATGGGACTTAGGGTTTGAATCATAGGATGATTCAGATACCTAAGTGACTCCTCCATCCCCATTCTACAATGCATCTCAGTCCCTTCCCCCAGCCCCTCCAGTCCATCTCTTTGAACACAGCTGATCAGTTCTCGGGATTGCATTAAGGCACGCAGTGGTTTTGCAATAACGGGTCAGACCCAAAGTGTAGCTCTGCAACTGTGCTGGGCTTCTGCTGCAGCAGTAGGAGGACATGCAGGGAGCTCCTTAACCCCCCGCAAACTACACCCTGTTGGTGGTACTTGGTGGCTGTGAAAAGGGTGAGACAAGAAAGGTAGCGATGCCTATCAAACAGTCAGATTTCCTTCCCCCACACCTACAGTCCCATTCATCTATTACAGGAAATCTATAAGCCACTTAGCGCAGTGAAAAGCTGCCGGCCTTCAACGCATCTGTCTTCAGAAAATTGATCAGATGGTTTTTATCTGTGTTTGTTTGCTTTTTTTTTTCCTTTCCATTTTCCAAGAGGCCTTGTTGATCGTCTCTAACGGAGCTTCCATCCTACAAGATGAGAAGCGAATGCAACAATAAAATGAAACATCATTACAGAACATCCTTAAGTGCCCAGAGAAAGAGTTCAAGGTAACAGGCCTGATTACCTCTCACTTAAACTACCTTTACGGCAGTATAACTATACGGGGCTGATTCTTTGTTCCATCAAAGCACTTCTATGTTGCTCCAACCTACTGAGAGCCCCTCTTGCTCAGACAATCTCCTCAGTTGATACACAGCTGAGATAAGGAGCACCAAAGGGGACTGGACAAGGACAAGGAGGATGTATAGATGGAGTTCATCTTTAGAGCTATTCTCTGCATCCAAGCACCCAGAGGATGCCCCTACACTGCAGTCAGAAGTGTGACTAGGATTCATCTGCCCATCCCTGAACTACCTTTAATCTAGGGTGATCATCACAGTGAAGATGAGGCAGCAGGGGCTCAGTGAAGGCTAGTCACCCTGAAGAAGCACCCAAAGTCTTTAAGGCCTTGCACAGCTTGCATGAAGCCTGTTTTCATTGCCATTGGTACCTAAACTATCTAGATATGAGGGCTACCCTAGCTTTCTGTGCTGCACTCATACTTCCTAGTGGCTTTCTAGCCATAGCCATAGTGGACAATGACTGGCAGAACTTAATTTAGAGCAGCCTCAAGGCTCCTATAGCATGAACAAGGGCTCAGGAAGGTAAAGGCAGCCTACGGACTGTGCCTACTCTCCCTATTCTTGTGCAGTGAGGAACTAGCTGTGAATAAAGGTCTGTTACATCAGTGGAGTAGATATGAGCTCAGAATCAGACTTGATATTTTTTGTTTCAATTAGTTTCACACTGCCAGGAGAAACCCTACAAGTCTCCCCTGTCTAAATGGGGCAGAAAAATGTCATAATATTCAAGATATTAACTGTCACTTTAGCATCCTTTTCTTTCTCTACTACCCAGAATTTCTTTTTCTACTAACTGTCACTCTATAGCACCCAAGTATTTTCAGCAGTGCCCCATGGGCAGTCAGCATCAATGTCCCACGGGGAAAGTGAGGCAGGGAGCCGTGACTTGCTTGCTGTCACACAGGTTAGTAGCAGGGCTGTCTTAGTGCCTTGTTATCAAATAACCAAGATAGGCCAGCCTCTCTGTCAGCTCTTTATGTCCAGATCCACTCACCTGGACACTGCCCATGTAGGCTAGTTGTACTGGCACAATGGAGGATGCCATAAAAGTAGCTCTGCTATCTGCACCGGGATGCTGTAGAAGGTATTGGTCAGGACCTATGAAACTACCTTGCCTGACCACTGCCTGCACAAGAGGCTACGTCACCCTGCGAGACTCCAGGCACAGAGGCAGTTAGAGAAGACGCAGCTTTTTTTCCATTCAATAGGAAAGAGAGTGGGATGTTGTCTGTGGTGGCTCAGATTGGGCAACTTCTTGTCACCCCTCAATGCAAGATAACCTAGATAGGACACTTTTCTGGGTATGCCGCTAAAGCCATTTAGCTTGCTAGGTTCTGGGAGAAGCTAGGTTCCCCAAGTGGGTCTAAGAAAGTTGTTTTGCTGCTTTGATTTATGTTCCAGCTGAGTTAATTTGTTATCTGGAAATGATTCTTTTTGGCAGCTGATGCCCATCATCTTCCATTGTGTGTCTGATTCATTGTTAGGGCACCAATGGCCTCTTAGTGCTGTTTCAATCAAAAAGGAATCAATCTAATGGGTGTTGCCTCCTTTGCCATTATTAATATATTACATCAGCTACTAGATTAGGGCCTTATTGGCCAAATGCAGGACAAAGATCTAGCCAAGGACTCTCTGTCCAAGAAGAGCTTAAACAGAGACAAAGGAGAAGCACAGAGAGGACATGTGAAATAAGAGTCCATTGGCCATGCAAGGGATAAAACCCAATGCCCTGATGCTCAAGTCAGGTACTTCTCTACTAGCCTGCACTGCTTCACAGATATAAATTGAACTTCTTCTGCATCTAATTGATGTATGGTAAAGGGAAACAGTCAAGTTAGACCCAGCATTTAAGGTTTAGAGAGACTTAGCAGTTACACTGGTACTACACAGAAAGAAGTAGTTAGCTCTGTTAGTCTGTAAGGTGCATCTCTATCCTGCTTGTGCTTGACTTCCAACTAACCTAACCAGAGATGCATAAGCTTGTGTGAGCATGCCGCTTAGTCTACCCAGGGCATCTCTACCCTGCCTTCTGGTACTATATAGTGATATGGTATTGAATTATATCAGTATAAAGGTATCTTCCAAGAGGTAAGTCTCCTCTCCCTTTATAGGGAATGGTGGGCCTGGTTCAGCACTTTGCTAGTCTAGTTATACATAATTGATTTTCTGCTCTGGGGAAAGGGCCGGTTGTTCTCCCTATGCCAACATTCGGCCCTGTGCCAAACTCATTCTGAACCTGTACTGTTTAAACCGACTCTATACAGGGGCAGCTGATGGCACTTAGAGGAGAATCAACCCCACTCTACTTCAGGCCTGCAGGGTGATTTCATAGCTGCAAAGCAATCTTAAATATTTTATACCAACAAAAATCTTTAGTCCTGGCCAGTACTAGTTTCCTCCCTTGCTAAATGTAGCCACCATCCACCCAAATCAGTCATTTGCCAGACCAAGATCTGCAGTGCTTTGAAGCCAGATGGCAATAATTGACATGCCTCCAGAATGATTTGTAGCATTTAGAAGAACTGCGTAGCTCTAGCGTAACTATTTAGAGCTGTTTCTTTCTGAGAAATGGAAAGATTAGTGGAAAATAGTATGAACAGTCACAATGGCAGAAAGGCACCTTTATATTGGTATTCAGTCCATGAATGAATGCTTGTCCAGTATAAAGTGCCTTTATGCTAATATAACTTGAGTCCAGGGCCAGGGGGTGTACTGGTTTGTGTCCGTATGGGCAAAACACTACTGTTTATGACCTCAGTGACACATAGAAGCCACAAGTGAGATCTTGGTCCCATTGTGCCAGGCAGCCTAGGTACATCTACTAAAAGACTGCACCAAAGAGCTTCCAAACTATATGGGCAAGGGAGGTAAAAGGTACCAGAGGAAGACAGGTATGAATGACTTACCAAACCACACATGATAAATGACAAGGTCTGGGACTAGAACTAATGTGGCACAGTGTATAGTTATGCCTCACTTTCTGAAGGATAACTCCCACAGCATGCAGTGATGTGCACAAGTGTAAGACTCTGCCTACTCTACTTCTACTATGGTTATAGGCAATGTATGTGGCAGCAAATGTGTCATGTATCTGCATCCCAAGCTGTTGATCCAAGCAAAGGTGGGAGCAAGACCTTCAATGCTTTGTTCTCTGAAGCACTTGCTCATATTGATATCGCACAGAGATCTGTAAGTGTGGGAGCAAGACATTAAACAGAGCCTGGGCTCACATTTTTATTTGCACTCAGCAATCATTTAGACACCTGAATACTAGGGGCCAGGTTTCCATAAGTGTTCAGCTCCTATCATGACACTAATGAGCAGATCACCAAAAAATCACGGCATCAACTGTACTGAGCTTGTCTTGAAACAGGGAACACTTATTTCAATGCCTAAATGGGAACGGAGCTCTTTTGGGAAGTCTTTTTTGAATGTGGATAAAAACCTGACTCATACATGTGTAAAAGGACAGATTCTGGTCTCATTGGTGCCAGTGTACTCCAGTTGACTTCCAGTATATTTACAGTGATATAACTGAGATCAGATCATTGCTTTGTATTGCTCATGACCTCTGTAGAAACTAGTCTTTGTCTGTGTCGTGTTGAAAGCTAACTACTTTTGGGGGACTGCATCCCTTGCCTTTCCTTCACAATCTGATTCTAGCTTTATACATTTGACAAAATAACATTAAATCATCATGGAAATGCACTTGCTCTTGTGGGCTGGCAGTGGACATCACTTAAATAAGCAATTGGCTTTCATTGTTCATTAGGTGTTATTTACCATCGGGTCTCTGCATCGGCAGCCCAAGATTTTTGATTCTTTGTTAACAAGCTCAGGGAGAAGCTCTGTATGCAGACCCTGGTGTTCAAATGTCTTTGCTCAGTGGGGCCTTTTATTACTTCCCTATCTTGCACACTTGTAATTCCAGCACGCTTCAAGAGGCAGAGATCTAGCCCATCTCCCACCGTGCTAGGGAGTGCACTGTGGACACACACCCTACTCACCTGCTCCTATTTGGTGTGTGCCAAATGCCAAAAATATCAGACAATCACTCTTGGAGCCATGTCCAGAACCACTCTCATACTCTCTGTCTTGAGCATGCTTGCCGGTACATGCCCAGGGCCATTCTAATAGCAGCTATGGTATTTTCAGTGTTAGCCATGCATAGAAAGGGAGCTAATAGGTAGGGTGTGTTTTCATGGCACTTCTCCCTGCCACAGTTGGAAGCAATGCGGGCTTGCCTTTGGTGCTGATTTTTGTCTGACCTTGTTGCAGCACATGCAGCTACACAACTTGTGGCTTTGTTTTCCCTGTCCTGAACCTTTCCATTTCTCAGGTGCATACCTTGACTGGAGAATGGGCTGGCACAGTATTACAAAGCAGGTAAAGGGAAGAAGACCCCTCCAGCACTTATAACTCTCACCTACTTATCCTCATAGTCCATTCTCCATCTTGTACAATGGGGATAATAGCTCTGCATCACCTGACAGGTGTGTCCTGAGGACAAGAACACTTGAGATTATGAAGTATTTTGTTACTATGATAATAGGAGCCACCGAGCGTGACAGTGTCACCCACACAGTTTCATTGTAAAGACTTGCATTTTGTGCTTATCTAAAAATAAAATGTGTCCCATCTGACAGCTGATGCTGCTTCTGTGTGCATGGAAAGTCGGGGCAAGATCCTGCCCCAGTGAAGTCAAAGAAAGCTTTGCTTCCATCTTCAAAAGATCTCACCAATTGCATGCACTCAGCTGAGCGCAGGTGGCAAAAAAGGAGATTGCTACACTCATTGCTCCTCAGCAAGCTTGTGAGGGGCATGACCCACTTGGATGGAGGCAGTCAAGACTTGACCCCAAAGGGTCACAGCCCAGGGGATCAGGAACAGACAAGGTCAGGAGGATAAGGTCTGGAAAGGACCAAAACACAGGGAATCAGCCTAGGCAGAACCACAAGGCAGAGAGGTCAGGAACAGGAAGCAGAGGTCCAGACCAGAGTCACCGGCCAGGAGGTCCAGGGCAGTACCTGGGCAGGACCAGGATATGGCCAGTCACCAAACTAAGCCACTACCAGGCGCCAGCTGTTAGAAGACAGGGGTTTAAGCTGGAGTCAAGCATGGGCAGGAGTGGGAGCAAAGGAGAACAGCAAGGAGTTAGCAAGGCAGTTTGGAGCAAAAGAGATCCAGAAAGAGGTCTGGAGCATGAGATCAACAGGCAGAAACCAGGAAACCAGCCAGCAGGACCCAGAGCACTACAAATAAAGAGGCAGTAAACAGGGACTAGGGAACTAAAAAGAGAACTATCCACCCAAGACTAAACAAGAAGGCGTAGCTCATGCTAGGCACTGAACAAGCTGCTTCAGGCAGACATACCCATGCAGGGAAGTGGAGACAGCTGGGGTACTTAGGCTCTGGTAGTCAAGACCACGCAGGAAACCAGGGCCAGCTGGGGACAATCCAGGCTGTCCTGGCTCCTGACACAGCTGTCACATTAGGCATTACTGACCTGAGTCCATATTTCACCTCCAGCTGCTGGGGCTACGCTAGCTGCTGCGGGAGCCTTCCTTAGCACTTGCCTCTTGCACTGGCTGTTTTCACACACACTGCTGGGGAAAGCCTGGCCCTGCCTCCAACCCCAAAGACACAGCTGAGTTGCTTAAAGGCTGAGAATGTATCAACAAGGAGCCTAGCATATCTCTGCCTTTGCAAACTTCAGCCCCTGCCTGCACAGATGCAGAAGTACTGAGCATAAGTGTAAGAGCTGAGGGTTTAGCCAAAAGTGCTCTGTTTTGATGAGGAGGGAAGCTTCCCTTGGCTTCAATGAGAGGAGGATTGTGCCCTGTCTGTTGGTGGTGTTCATAATGAACCTGTTGCTGTGGGCAAAGGATGGATGGGCACATTGTTCCTTGTCTGCTTGTTCCTGGAAACTTTAATGCTCCATAGGTCTTTATGGTTATTAGTGTTGCACTAGTGCCTGCAGGCCCCTTTGTGCCGAGTGCTGTATTGTCCATCGTGAGGCACCTGGTGCCCACAGAGCTCATGTAAAGGGCTCAATGCAACCTTCTGCCCTCCTCCAGACAGCGTGCTACATGCAGGCTTTGCTAACAGTCTGGTAGCTTATGCAGGAGCGGTTTGTGCTTTTCAAAGGCCGGGGGCCCCAACTTTAGATCCTCATGAGTTGCCCATGGACATTGCTCCATGTTTACAAAGACTGGGGAAAGAAATAGTGGTACAGAAAAGAGCTGACTTGTCCAGCTGACAAAGCAAGTCAGAAGCAAATGCAGGAAGAAGCCTGGGTCTCCTGACTCCTTGTCCAGTGCACTGGACCATGCCATGCCACCTCTCTCGGGGCAAAAAGCACTGGTGGGGGCCTTTCCTTTCTAGCCAAGCGGGTGTTCCTGTGTAAGTACAGATCTAGACATCTTGGTGCTATTTAAATATTTAGAGCAGGCCAGGGTAAAAAAGATTGAAGCATGAATTATTCACAGCTTTACTTTTTTATCTTGGCAACAGCAGCTGTATTTAGCATGGAGGATTCCTCTAGCACAGCTCTGGGGAGGGGGTCGTCTTTCTCGAGAACTCGGTATGGGAAGCCATTGTTCACACGGAGACGCTCCACCACCTCAATAGTGCAGCAGGCACCTAGTACCAGTTGCTGTCTATCCTGCTGTGCAGACAATAGGTTTAAAATGGAGCGGCTGGAATGTAACCAGCTTGGCCTCTGCAGTCTTTCTGTTAGAAACAGGCAAGAGATTGCTTTATTTTACCCGGTAGGGGAAAAATTTCCTTGCGGGGAGGCTTGAGAGGGGCAGGTGATACTTGAGTAGGACCTAATCCTGCAGCCTGCCAGAGGGGGCTAAGTACAAGAGTCAGGTCTCAGGTTCTTCTCCCGATTAGGAGAACAACCTGGATTAGGCAATTCTCAGATGCTGCTTTGCTGCTCGAAATCTCTTGCTTAAAGTTCCCACTGGTCCCAGAATGCATTGGTCATCATGAACCACAAATGGCTCCAGAACCTGCTTTGAATGCCCCATCTCATAAGTAAGTTCCCATGGGAGTAGCACAGGTGGGAATTTGGAGGGCTGCAGAAGGCAGCACATCTGTGTAGGAACAAGGCCCCTGCAATTAGATCAAGCTGCTTTCAGTAACTTGCCCACACCCTCTCACCCCTTCCTCCCCTTGTACTACCTATGCAGCTCTCTCTGAGGAAGCTGTGCCACATACTAACTTGCAATCGCTTAACAGAAGTTTTAGAGACCTCCCCTCTGTGCATCAGGCCAACCTAGTGCTACTTGGAAAAGCTGTCAGGACCCCAGCAGGAGATGGGGGTTGCAAATAAAAAGGGGGGGAAAAACCATTCAGAAGCTTGGAAGTCCTAAATCTTTTAGCAAAAGAACTAGAAAAAATTGCCATCATGAAGCAGATGGAAAAACAGCAGTTTTAATATTAAACGTTGGTGTGGCTCAGGGTTGGAGCAGCATCTTTGTCTGCAAAAGCTGCTCAACAGTTAGAGGTGCTGTCTAAAGCACCAGATGGAGATGCGGCTATGTACATAGGATGGGATGTTGACTAAGTCCCAGCTGTGACAGCCTGTAGCACTTGCACTAGAGCTCTTTGCAAGCAGAGCCATTCTCCCTTATTGCTAATGCTGGTCTCACCCTCACAGGAGCATAACAAGGGCCAGAAGCATTACTTTGCCAAGGTAGGCTTAATGCAGGGGCAGAGAGCTGGTTATACCTGCCTGATTTGCTAGGCTGACCCAGCCACAGCTTAAATTAGGGCTGCCTAGGGACTGCTCTAACTTTTATGCTAGCTGGCGCTCATCCCTGTATGAACTGCCAGAATATACTTGTACTATACCTCACCGCAGACATGCTCCCTCTGCCACTTGGCACTGGAGGGAGCCTATTACACCCATGTGTAGCAGCTGGAAATGCCCTTATGCTGGCAGGGAATTCTTTGCTGGGCAGTCTGGACCAGGTTGCACCATTTTGCATTGCTGTAGTGGGAGCAATGAATCTGGCCTTGGGTGACTTGCCAGAGGTCAAAGAGGGAGTCTGTGTCAGAGCTGTGAACTGAACTCAACTTCCATGAGTATCAGCTCCCTAGTGATTTTTACCTGCAGGACTGATCAGCGATAGTTACTAGAGCGCAGCACTTCCCAGAATCAGGCCAGTCTCCTCTCTCCTTTCTAGCCCTTTGAACTGAACTCATCTTCCCGTGGTAGCGGTATGCTGTGATTTGCATGGCTGTTGAGAAGTATTAAATGGCTCTGCACACTCAGCACATTTGTGCATTCACTCAGGCACATGCCTGAATTGATAAAGTAATCCTGTTCCAGATAGAAAACTCAAACACTGGTGCAAAGATGAATAGCACCAGTTCTTCCAAGCACATTCATCTCACAGTGCCCAGCTCAGGATGCAATCAAAGTGCCTTGTCTCATGTGTCATCACTGACTTGCAATCAGCTAAGTGTCATCTCTTGAAAAAGCTAAAAATACCCTTTGATATGCAAAGGTGACTCCTCCCTTTTCTGTCTGTCCCAGTAATTATTTGGTTCCATCACTGTCATGATGAGTACCTTCAAACTACTTACCCCGAGGAAGGAGGGCAGTAGCATCCCTATTATACAGCAGAAACCAGTATCCTTAAGTCCATTCTCTTGGCTTACTGCCCTAACCACTAAGATACAGAGTCATGCATCACCTTGCTTGCTTTCCTCCTGGCCTCGTAAATCCAGCATTTCTTTCTGCACCGTGGCAAAGCTTCTGCAGGAAGGATGCAGGGAACCAGTCTCCTGGGACATGGGAGAGGTGGATCTGAATCCCCTCCAGCTGAGGAGAGCATTGCCTCCAGGCCTTCCCTATCCTGTGCGAGAGCTCGGACCAGTGTATAGCTGCACATGCTACAAAAAGCAGATAGCCTGACACGGGTTTTCAGAGTGGTGAACTTTGCTTGTCTTGAACTAGTCTTTCAAAGAGACATCTCCCCTGAGGAGCGGGGCTCGGAGTCTGGGTCCCAACTGGGCAGAGATGCCTGTATGCAGCCCAGAGGATCTGGAGCTCGTGTGGCTGAAGGGCTGAAGTTCAGACACATTGTGTGCTTGCTCTTGGCTGGCTCCAGGTAGCTCCCTGATCAGCGTGGATCACACCTCTATGGCACCTCACTCTGACTAGGAAGCCTGGGTGCTTAACTCCAGCACCAAAGTACCTTAACTTAGCTATTGCAGTGCCTAATTTGCAGGGTGAGAGCTAATAAGGGTTAGGAGCCTAAGTATCTTACCTTATGCTCTGCTGATTCTTTCTCCCTCCCTCCCTCCTGTCCTGGCAGGGGGAGGCTTCTGCTTCAAAGGGACAAGTTTGAAAATAATGAACCAATACTACCGTATAAAATTAAGAGGAGGGAGGACTTGACACACATTAGCAATAACTGTTTCATGTGTTCACCCTATCCCATGATAAGTGGAAGCTAAACTACAGCAGCTAAATTGTTACTTACCATGGGATACAACAGAGGCCTGAAACAGTTAAAACCATCAGTTGGGGTCTGATCTGTCCCTTTGCTTTTAACTCAGTATATGTTCATCAGGTGCTTTGGCTTCTACTGTAAAGTGCCTTTAAAATCACATTAGAAGAAATGCAACAGAGGCACCAATTAATACCGGGCAAGGTACTGATAACTTTAGTTATGCTGAACAGTGCCTTTGTCCACAAGAAGGCCATTGAAGGTAATGGAGTCACATTTTTCAAAGCACCTAACTGATTTAGGAACCTAAATTCCCTTAAGTCAGACAGAATGCTCATTATTTTTTTCAGGCAGTATTAATGATATCTTCACATCATTACTGAAACAAATATACCTGCAGATGCTTACTAGAAGCACAGCATCAAAACTAATGTCATTTAAAGAGGGATGGGGTAAAAAAGATCACAGCCTTTAAAATATTTATCTGTAGATAATAGAAAACCACTTCTGCTGGGATTAGGATCATTTCTCAAGTTTGCCACGTGCTGTTTTTTGCTCCCAGGACTCGCACGTCCAGTGTGGGACAATGCACTGCAGAGGCGACAAGTTACTGCAGCTGAATAGAGAGATGTCCACAGTACCCAGAAGTCTAGTGCTTGGATGGGAGGGGAGCAAGCAATAAGAAAATTGCTCCTCTGGGCACCTCTGTAATAAAAACTGTTTTCTGTGTGTGGGTGGCAAGTATTTATTAGGTTTTTTTGGAGGATACCTGTTTATTTAAAACCTATATACAGTTCTATGGTGCTGCTGCTGTCTTCTCAGTGGGGCGGATGACCATGCTTATATGATAATGCTGGAAATAAAGTGTGTGTGAGGGGGAACATCTCAGGTTTTGCTGGAGATATTTGCTCTGTCTTTTTTGCATCATCTCTGACATGGTGACCTCTGCTGGTCTGATCATTTCAGTAGCAACTACTTTAGCTGTCTGCAATGCAGGAAGAAATGGAGAGAGGAAAACAACTTCTAGCATGAGACACCTGCTTCTCTCTGACACCTGTTCAAGGTGACCTGGTGGGGAGGGCAGCCTGTTGCCAACATGAATAGAGAGTCAGAAAATTCTGGTCGGTCTCTGAAGCTGCCTCAAAGACTGGGCTGGAGTGGATATGTGGATTTTGGCTGGTTTGGGAAGCTCAGAGCTGATCCTCAAGTCTATAGGGCTCCAGTACTGCTCAGAATCTGTATTGGTTTAACAGTGGCTTCCTTCCCCCCACCACCATGCTTAATCTCCCATTTTATCACCAAAATAAGGGTCAGATCTTCAAAAGAAGCCAGCATTTTCTATTGTCATAGTTAGGAGCAGACTTTAAAAAAACCACAGTGCTCACCCTCTACCCTCTGTGCTGAGCTTGTGGGAAAAGCTGGGCCTTAAATCCTTGTGGGAATCCTTGATCATTCTGGCCGGAGCGTACCTTGCCTTGGAGAAGGGAGGACTTAACTGTTATTAGTACAGAGGAGAATAGTCAGGCTATTGGACCCTGGATAAAACAATGTACCTCGCCTCAAAATGAAGTCAGCCAGAACTCATGGCTATTAGACTTAGCCTCAGAAACAGATACAGGCTGGATGTTTTTAGGGATCGGTATCTTGTTAGCTTGGACACTCCTCTAGGAAGGCAGATGGCCTGGGTTTGAGGCCTCTCTCAACCAGAGGGGGTTTGAACTTGGTGTCTCTTTCTTCCCTGCATGGTACTCAAACCACCACATCAGACTGCTGTCTTGCAGCCCCTTAGGGCCTCCAGCTCCCCAAGCAGACCGGAGAAGGGTCTTCGTGGTGTCCGACCTGTGGCTTGGTTGCTAGCGCGTCATGCTGAGAAGTCGGAGCACTCCAGGTTCAGACCAGTTTGGGGTAGGTTGAAAACCCCAAACCCATAGCTTCCCAGCCACAACCCCCATCTTGATCTCCTTCTGGCCCCACATATCTCTTGCTAATGGCTGTCCAAAGGAGTGCTGGAGAAGAGACAGGGCAGTGAGGCCCAGTAATAGTTGCTGTCCTGACTTCAGACTCACATAGTTGGCTGCCTCCAGCTGCTTGCTATGTGAGCTACCTCTGGAGAGCAACATGCAAATCCAATCCTGATCCCTGAGTATTAACTGGATATAAAATACACTTGGGTAGATGTTTGTGTGTCCATGTCCACAATGTGTCACCACTCAGTCTCCCTAAGTCCTGGCTGGGTCTCGTCAGAAGATGACTGGACCTACATATATGTAGAGTTTATGTGCTGAACACCCCATGTGAACAGAGGGAAGCATGCTGTGACTATGAAAGCCACCTCTGGTCCCTACCTGGAACATAACACTTGTCCCCAGAGCCAGCATCCAGGAGCTGTTTACGCCTCTGCTTGAAAAGGTGGTAAAATTGCCCACAATGCATGGGACCAACTGGGCAAGGTGGAACGAGGGGGAAGCCATCCCTTCTCAGCTCTTGAATCCAATATGGCTTAAACACCTGTGCTCTAGGAGGTGCCGTGCATGGCCTCCCAGCTGCCAGAGGGATGAAGCAAGTTCTGCTCCCTGCTGTGACCCCTGCCCCTTTGTAGCCTGGGGACATGTCCAGGCTGTTCAGTGTTGCAGCAGTTGGGCAGACCCTCCAGCAGTCAGTGGAGCTGCAGTGATTTGCAACGGCTTAGCATCTACCCAGGCCACTGACTGGAGCTAAGGCTGGAGATCAGGTGAGGATGTGGGCCCATTCGCTCCAGCGGAGCATCACTGATTTATACCAGCTGAGAATTTGGCTCATGAACTCCAGTGCAGCCATATTCTTTTACACCAGCTGGGGATCTGGCCCTCTGTGCTCTTCTTGGCTGCTGCATTTATTTAGTGCCAGCAGGAGGTACAGGGAGATATTTAACAACCTGGAAGAAGCGTTTTATTTGTGTGTTGAGTTTATTTGCTTTCTCTGGCAGGAGGAGAATTAAAATTTGGGTTTAAATCTGCAGTGCCTGTCTCTGCTTAAGAGAGAGCAAAGCATTACGACACAGGGAGTTAGAGGCTGCTGCTACAGGAGCATGCAGGCAAATGGAGCAGCTATTACAGATCAGCAACACATCAGCTACAGCTCTGGGCATTAGACCCAGGCGGTCAGATCCAGGAGAGGATGTGAACCATACAACAGGGTGAATGTTCCTCAACACATGTTCCCAGCCCTCGGTGACTGGTGGGGGGGGGGAAGGAGGAGAGGACTTCTGATCAGGAGACCCTTCGCTGACTTGTGATGGTGTCTGGATGATGCCCAGATCCTGAGCTGGAATAAACCATCATCAAACCACTGGGGAAATGCCAAATTACATCAGCTCAGGCATTCCTCCTCCTGACTCCAGTGGCATTTTGCATGAAAGCTCTGGGATTTACACCTATTTGGTAGGATGAGAAACATCAATTGAGCTGCCAGGGGAAAAAAAACCCTTTTGGGACTGATGACTAGTCCACTATTGACAGCTGATCTACTATGTGATGACGAAGGAAGCAAAAAATCTCACACTGTGCCTCAGTTTCCCTATGCATGAGAGGGGTATCAAGGATGCGATACATACCTCTTGGAGTAGGGCTAATCAGATTAAGGTCTGCACAGCACTTGTCATAATTCTTGAGGCTAGGAAGTCATTTTATTTTAGCACTTCTGCCTTTTGCCCTTTCTTTCTTTAAGCAGAAGAACAAGATGAACAGGACTTGGGAGTGAGGGAAGTCACCTGAGCGGAGCTGGAGCTTTGTGTGATGACTCTGATTCTCAATGCGGCTCAACAGTTCGTGCCAGCTTTGGCTCTGCTGCGGGATTGGAGCTCCCCAGCTTTCCAGCACAAGTGAGGTGAGCGTCAGCCTCCCGAGACGCAAAGGTCAGGGACTGCTTCACAGCAGTAGCAACTTGTAGGGATCAGGGAATACAAATGTTATCTGGAACTAGACTAGCAGCACCACGGATTTTGCAGAATATAAAGGACATATTTGCAAATGACAAAAACGGCACAATAGCTGGGGCTCTTGTAAGGAGCAATAAGAAGGGTGTTAATTATGCAAAATCACTTAATCCTGGAGGCACATCCTAATGAAGGACCAGATTGTGAGCTGCTTAGTGCCTCTGGTGAACAGTTACTCACCCGGATAGTCCCATGTGAGTCAACACTGAGCATCCTCCACAAGCCATAACAGTTAACGATGCACAGGCTTTGAGTAGGGTACTTGGGCTTCACTGATAATGTGTCATCTGACCCAGCAAGGATGGGGGTTGTGCGTGGCAGTGAAGGCTGGTGAAGATAAACAGAAGAGTATATTTCTAGCTGACAAAGCACCCTTCCTCCTCGGTCACGGCAGATTATTAGCAGAATTTATCCCCCTCGCTCTCTCAGATAATGCAACAACACGCATTCAGCAACTACCACTACAACAGAATTGCAAATGGGCTTGATGACAAGTGGCCAAATCTCTCCTGTGCTCATGCTCACAAATCTGTTGATACCAAACATAGCACAGAAAGGACAAACTGCTGCCAGGGAGTCACTCAGAGGGATTTCACTGGGGTTTCTCACAAGGCAGTAAAAACCACCTGCTCTCACTGAGCTGGTCCTGTGAACCCAATTTTAATTAGCATGATTTTGGCAACACAAAGAACCTGAGTGTCAAAAAAATCTAGAAGTAGAAGCAGCCAGGGCAAACTTCTGCCTCATGAGGAGCCTCTTTGGAACCAATTAGTTTAGTTGCAACTGCATTAATCTAATGATGAGTTCAAGCTTACCATATTTTCCTGCATGCAACTTGCACTTTTTCTCCAAAGCTACCTACTGGAAATTACAGTGCACTTCGTATGTGAGAAAGTGGTAGGCTCAGGTTCTGCTCCTTACTGGAAAAAAGTAAAGTAAAAGGTACAACAATCCACTACTACACTCAGTTACAAAAGAAAGATCTTTTCCCCTCTCCTTTCTGCCTGTCCAAAGCAAGGTGTGGGGCATGTTGCAGCCCCAAAAAACATGGCACTAACCGGATGAATGTTTCAAGCTGTTGGTCACTATTTTCAAGGCACTCCTTAGCTTGGTCCCAGGTAATCTAAGGGTATCTAAAGCTGCAGGATGAAGATTGTGGGTTACAACTTCTCTCCCCAGTTACAGCAATGATTTCCACATTCCCCCCCTCCCATCATGAAGCTAAAGATCAGCTGTGCAACTTCACTCCCCAGTCACAACAATGATTTCCCTGCCTGACATCACAAAACTAAAGTTTAGCTGTGCAGAAAGCAAGTTTCTTGAGTACCAGGCTGAGAGCCTGGGATAACCTGAGGACTGCCGTAGACCTCGCTGGCTGCCTGCTGCCAGGTGGGGCTGAGCATGGCAGTTCTTCAGCTTCTCTACTGTAAATGCATCAGAGCCTTTAAAAAGAAACCAAGCAAACCCAGGAGCACAAAGCTCTCCACTGCTTACTTAGGGGGCTCCCTTGCAAGCCAGCCTGAATCTCACAGGGCAGGCGAGACTCGTGCCGCTTAATTTGCTCATGAATGTGCTCTGATGCTATGTTCAGCCAAAGCAGATTTCTTAGATCTGTTGTGGGATCTGCAGAAAGGAAATGTTCCCAATGACGGTTCCAGGAAAACCATTTCTTCATCCAAGCCTGCTCCACATTTAGGGCAAGATTGCCAGAAAGGTCTGGGCGAATGCCCAGGCATGTGTGTCCCCAGCTCAATACACCTTTGTCCAAGGCAGAAAGCTGCCTCTGCTCTACAGACATATCTCCCATCTCCAGTAACAGGGCAGAGGAGGATGGATCATTGGCTCCTTCACAGTCCTACTTGCTAGCCAGCAGAGTAGGACCACTGTGAGAATGGAGAAATGAATGACATCTTTCAGGACTGCAGTGAATTATTTGTCTTTTCAGTAGCCAGTAGGGAGGGGGAAGGCAGGTATTATAGGCCTCTGACTCTTTTCTTGGGTTCCTTCTGGGGCAGAGATTTCCCCCTTCCATAGATACTCAGTCTTGCTGCCTCACCCTTTACATGTTAGGCAATGAATTGCTGTACAGTTTGCAGATCCAAGAAATCATCTGCTTTCATGGGGAGAGACTAGGGCCAGTGGGTTCATATTTGTTCATTTATAGCCTGTTTCAAACATGCCGAGCTCCAAAAGGCTTTACAGAGTTAAATAATACAAGAAGGCTGTGTGCAATAGCCATCCAAGTAAACAGTTCTGCTAAAAGAGCTTGGGGTGAATATATTAAAGCATTTTTTCATCAGGGCAATTAAATGGGACAGGAGCAAAATTAGAAGGGAGGGGCAATGTTTTAAGATGAGGGATACAATTTTCAAAAGCATCTAACTGACCTGAGAGGCAAAGCTCTGGTTGTTCTCTTTTTTTCTTTCCAGAAGTGATTTAGGCACTTTGACCCAGATCTTCAAATGTGTTTAGCTGTTTAACTCCCACTGAAATCACTGCCTCAGACATCTCTATGTCTTAGGCTCCTAAATATCTTTTAGGGAAGTGGGCTTTGAAAGATAAAGAGAAGTAGCACTCAGGGACATGGATAATGCCAAAGTTACAGATAATGGAGTCAAATGAGAGGTTGGAGCTGAGAAGCTGTGATGTTTCCAGTTTTTGATCAAGAGAAAGATTTCTACCTTCTGGAAACCCCTAGGTCCAAGCTTGGCTGTGCTCTGGTGTGCTTTGTGAAGCCAAATGTGCCCTTGTCCATGATGCTGCAAGGACAATGATGTTCCATTGTCCTTTGTACATGCAAGGGTCTGAAATAATGCACGAAGGTTTGGTAACATTGCCCCCATTTCTACACCAAGCCAGAGTGACAGTCACACAGAGATGCCTGTTTCAAATTGGGATGGGAATGCCTGTTGCTGATGCCCAGGCTTGTGCTTTAGCTACCAGATAACATCAATATCTTATTATTTGGTCTGAAAACAGTGATTTCCTATCATCAATCTGTAATGCTGGTTACCGGTCCATTCATCCAGGTTTGCAGCCAGTTAAAGGTAGTAATGGTATTCTGTTAATGATTTTGTGGTCAAGGCGTTAGTCTGAGATTTAAGAGGTCAGCGTTTCATTCCTGACTCATCACAGGCACTCTTTGTGATCTTGGGTAAATTGCTTAGTCCTCTGCACCTCATATCCTTATCAGTAAAATGAGAATAATGCTTCCTATGTGTGGCAGCTGAAAAGTATGTCTGTGTGATAAAAGTTGCTGAAGGCTCTATGAAGATTGGACTAAGTGTTTTTCTGTATTTGTTTAGATATTAAGCTACAAGTTGTTATGAAAAGCCTAATTACAGTTTAAGATGTAGTGAGGCCTTGTATAAAGTAAGGCCTAGTAAATTTAGCAAAGCCTAGAAGTAGTAAGGCCCTGTGGCACAGTTAAAATTACCTTATCAAAGGAATGCAAGGCTTGTATTGCTATTGGCCAGTCTACGGACAGTTGAAGAAAAAGGAATCTAAGTAGTCATATGTTATCAGTGTCCTTCAGAAGCTATAAATTAGCTGAAATATCTGGAAACCATTCAGAAGGAAGATGCAGCTCTGTGAAAAGATTAGTTAGCTGTTGCCTGGATCAGTGGGCCCGTGGACCTCGAGGAGCCCAAGAACTGCATTCCAGGGTCCTTCCCGCCACCCCTCAGACAGTGTTGTTCGGGGACGCCTGACCTCGCTGAACGTTGTGGAAAGAGAAGCTTGCTGTGCATCAGGCATCGGAGGGACTGCTGATAGGTTGCCAATGCAAATTGCTTTTGTCTGTCATCGTTTGTCTTGTTATTACATGTAGTTGTGTTTTTTTTAAGTCAATAAATCTTTCTTACCTTTCTATCCCCCACCACACTTTCAATCTAAACCCTCCGCAGGCGGCTGGGACACTGTGTCTGTCTTGTCTATTTAGATGGTAAATTTTGGGGGCACGGCTTATCTCTTCTGACTGAAGGTTCTGCGAGGCATGGCTTCTCTCTTACTATGCTTTTGTACAGCACCTAGCGCTATGTGGTCCTAATTTCAGTCAGGGCCTCTGCATGCTATCATAAAAATAATAGTAAAAATAATAACAGTGGCATTGTTAAATCCAGATTGCAAGCAGTTGTGCCCTAGAATCAATATTCCTTCTGAAGCACTCCAAGGCGGCTTGTGTTGCTTTAGTATCTGATTTTTCATAATTACTTGGGCATGATTCTGAGACTGATTGCTTTGGATGTTATCCATATATATAGATATATAATTCTATTGGAAAGCAAACAGTTTGTAAGTATTTCTGTATAAATATATCCATCTCAAGGAATTTGATTTGTGAATATTCTTTGGTTGTTAGTGTACCATAGCGAGTTGTATTAAAAACAGACCTTTTGTCTCCCTGGGAGGTGGCCGCCTGCCATCGCAACCCAAGCAATGTTTGCTGCAGGGATGGTTTTAATATCTTGTTTAAAATATTTCCCGTGGGTGCCTAGTGCTGAAAAATGGTACAGGTTTCAATTGTTTCAGCTCTGCCATAGCTTTTATGGTATTGCTAGTTCATATACCTTCCTCTGAAGGATCGATCTGGGAAGAAATGACCTTCTCCTGGCAACTAGAAACAGCACTCCCTGAATTATCATATGGCAATCAGGACTCATAGTAGAGGCGTTATCTTTTTAGACCAACAAGATTTTTGCAAAAAAAAATCTTTAATTGCAAGCTTTCAGGCACAAACCCCCTTCATCAGGCACTGGAAAAAAGATTGTAAAAGTTCTGGGTAGAAATGAAAGTTCATATTTCATAGGATTTCACAGAAGGGTCAATAGATGGAAAACTCCTCTGGGCTGTCAGTTCATAGCTGGTGTGGAGCCTCTCACTTGCTAGGGAGGGTTTCTTGCATCTTTTTCTGAAGCACCAGTCTTGCATGTCTTCACTGCAAGAAGACTATGTTTTTAGCTCAGGGACAGCAACTTGCATCAAAATAACTGTGAAGACAAGGTAACCTGGGTTTAACGTGAGTTGGCAGTTCAGGTTTAAGCTATAGAGAAGCCTGGTTTTGAATCTAAATTTTTAACCCATGCTAAAACCTGATTTGCCTTGTTTTCATTACTATTAATATCTTAGATAACACACCTCTCTTTTAGTGATGACATACCCCCCAGAGAGGAGAGTGAACTAGAGCAACCATTAGTGTGATCTACAATGCAGTCTCCTGAAAGCTAAGGGAAAATTATCCTTTGAGCACTGAGTCAATCCAAGGCCAAGTCTGAACAGGGGTGATTTTTCACTCTGCATGGATATTTTGTGCAAGTTTCTAGTAACTCACTTAGTCCTGGGCTATCTGTAGGATGTGGGTGGCTTCTGTGGTTTGAAGACCGGTCCTTACACTGTTGGGATGTTGGCTGCTGTGGTTCCCCTGCTTTACCTGTGGCAGGTTAGGGGGTTATGTCTTGTGTTGTATCAGGGGCCATAGTAGTTTTATGGAGAGGTTAGATTATGGATTTGTATGGGATGCTTTGGATAGGGAAGATCCTGCCTCAGGCAGGGGGCTGGACTAGATGTGAGCTCTAGTGCAGCATTTCTCAACCCATGGGTCGTGCCTCAAAAGTGGGTCAACATACTTTAAAAGTTTGTGACTATATGAAAGGGTTGCAAACAAACTGTAAAAATGGGTCAACAAACTTTAAAAATAGATTCTCCTTTAAAGGAGAAAAATGTGGGAAATTGTGGGTTTTCCCTTGCAGGCTGGCAAAGTACCAGCACGTGAGGGGATGCTTGGGGCCCCTCCTGCCTCTCACACTGAGGGGGCTGGGGTGGAGGGCAGTGGGTTGGGAGTGAGGGGCATGGAGTTGAGACTGGCCATTGATGCTTACAGATGAGTCCTGGTACAAAAAAGGTTGAGAGCCACTGGTCTAGAGGTCCCTTCCAGCCCCACTCCTCTATAATTCTTGATTACTCTTGCTAGGAAGTCCTGCTGTAGATATGCTCAAGAACCTTAATGTCCGTGCTGAGACATCTAAGAGCTAGATCCTCAGCTGGCGTTGACTTCTGTGGGTCTGACTCTATTGAAGTGGATGTACTCCAGCCCAGGATATGGGCCTGGCTCGTTAAAATCACACTGGAGAAGGGGGTAAATGAATGAATGAATCTAATGTGGCTCTATGTGCTTCTCCCAGACAAGAAGCCATTGTTCCCAGCTGTCAAGTCTTATTCCATCAGTCATGCTCTGTTATGTAACAGGAGGGAATGTGACTGACAGATCTGGATGTGACAGGTCATAACAATGATTTTGTAGGCTGGGGGAATTCACAAGAGAGCAGATCTGATTGCAGGAACCAAGGTTAGGAAAGGAAACACATTTTAAGAGAATGTTTTACTGTCTCATCTCCTGGAGGTGGCAGGAAATGGCAGCATTTAGCTACAGTGGGATGAGCTCTGCGGAGGCACTGAAGGCAGGAGAGATTAGATGGGAGATGGACCATCCCAAGCAGGCAACAGCTTTCTGCCACAAATAACTGGGGCAGTAGGTGGCCAAAGGACCTACATCCTGGCCCCTGAGAGTTTTGCCATTGATATCCACGGACTTGGGGAGAGGTTCCTAATGCCTGATTCTCTCCTCGCTTCCTCCAGGGTTTATACCAGTGTAACCCCATGAGCTTTAGTGCAAATACCCTTGATCTACACCAATATAAGTAATAGCAGAGTCAGACCTCAAAAGCTGCAAAGAACCATGATTTTCCTTTGGATACCCATGTCCTTAGAAGCTGGCCTCTTTTATCAGAAGCATGTTGTGAGCACGTACTATTCTCTTCTTTCTGGGAAGAAGAGAGTGAGGTGATTGAAGCTTGCACCTGCCTTGGTTTCGGGCACATTCTGTCTCTCCCCCTGCTATAAGGAAAGGGCTTGGGTGTGACTCCTTTCTTGATCACCATGCTCACTTAGGCACCATCACTTAGAGGGCAGCCTTGCTTCATTCTCTTGGCTACAAAGAGTAAGAGAACACGTGTGATCCCCCCCACCCCCGGCTCTCTTTGGGAAACCCCTGCAAATTCTAGGATGCAACAACGTGGTGTGTGGTCCTGACATTGTACCAAGTAGAGTGGCACAAGAGCAATCTCAAGTTGATCCACTGCTGTGTAGCTTCACTGGACCCTGTTAGCAGAAGTCATGACCATGGAGGGAAGAGGAGACTTCTTCCCCCTTCCCACCCCAAAGTGGAAGTCTCCAGCTGCTCAGGCTGTGAGCTTAGGGATGGATTTGCTCCTTGGATTTCACCTGGGCCACAGAGCGTGCAGACCATCAGGTCAGGGATCCACTTCTTTGCTGCGTAACATGGAGTTTATTTTAAGGACCTTTTCCTTCCACTTGATTAACCCCTTTATCCAGGAGTGTAAATGCATTGTGCAGGAAACAGTCGCATTGCATTCACAAAACAGATGATCTCTCCTCCGGGCACAAGGCAGTAGCAGACACCGGGGGAACTCCAGGCTGGGATTCCTCCAGCGCTCTGGGGCTACTCTCTGCTGAATTATAAGTCCTGTCCCCCATCCCGACACCAAGTACTAGAGTCTCCAGGGGCACAGGCCTCTGCGGCTCTCTTCTCCAGCCTCAATCAGGGAAAACCTTCCTTGAGCTTAATTCTCTGCTTCCTTACACAGGTGTGACACTGATGATCCAATCTGGATCCTCTTCTTCCCAGGAGGCAGAGCCACTGAGACAGGGTTGGTTTATGGAGGCAGGTTTGGCTTGAAGCCACTCCTGTGCTTCACAAATTCTGGTCTCGTCCCCAGCGTAAGCTGTAACCAAGCGGCTGCTCCAGCTGGTTTTGCAGGTGTTTTCAGATGTTGCTTCAGTGGCTCAGCTTGGCAATAGCTACACTCTTCCCCAGCCCTTCTCTCTTCAGCCAGGGCTGTGTGAAGCATGGCATTAAAGATATTATACTGAGCCCTGTGGGACTGGATAAGCCAGCTTTGTACATTCTTTGCAATAGCCGGACTGCTGAAAAGGCCAGAATTCAGGCCATCGACTCCAGTGGAGCTGTGCGTGGTGCACATATTACATGGGAGAAAAAACAGATCCTCTTATAAGGCTTTTGAAGCCTTTAGGGTTAAGGCCATGGCTTGGTACTCATAAAACTGAGGCACAGTTCCTGAATCCCTTATAAATCATCTGAGTCATCATAGGCTAGATATTTTCTGTCTGCCTCAGTTCCCAGTTTGTAAAAACAAAGCACAAGCAACAACAAAAAAATCACTATGGGGACCTAGCAAACTTTAACTGTAATGATTACATGGGACACATACATAGAGCAATAGCATTTCCTGCAAGATGACTTGTTTTCTAAGCAATCAAAATAAGCCTAGTTCCGATTTTAGTCACCCTAGGCAGAGAAGAGGACTTGGGCATTGGGATGCACTCAAATGGACAGAAATGATAATGCAAGAGGCAAGGATTTCTTTGGGTGATATCTTTTATTGGATCAACTGTGTGGTTGGGATAGAGTTAGGCAAACTTTCAAATGCAAACCATTCTTCTTTGGGCCTGAGGAGAAAAGCAAGCACAGTGATATAGTCAACTTTAAAAAAAATAAAAGTGATGGCAAATGGGTTTGATATCAAGGAGATAATAGCATGGACCCTGGCTTTGTATATTCTGAATATGGCAAGAATGAGCAGGGAGGCAAAAAGGGATTTTGAACCCAGGTCCCCAAAGGTATTTAGGCACCTAACTCCCATTGGTGGTTTCTTTACTTTTTTTGTTTGTTTGTTGATAGTTGAGTTTCTTAGAGGATTTGGGTTGATGCACCTAAATCTCACCGATTTGCCATAAATGGCTGCTTGACTGCCCTTTGAGGGGCAAGTTTGTTTGTTATAATGTATATGACTGGCTTTTATTGGATGAACTGTATAGTTGGGAGAGATGCTGGACAAGCTTTTGGGTATAACATGTCTTTCTTCAGGCCTGGGAGAGAAGCAGATACAGTCGAAACTGAAGAAAAGGAAAAAAAATAACTTGTGTATAACTACATGTAAATGACAAAAAAGCACCTGGATTTATTCCTGGCTCTGCCATGGACTAGTTGGGTGATCTTGGACAGGTCACTTAATTTCTCAGCCTTTCCAATAAAGCCTTTCAGCTTTATTTGTCAAACAGGGTAACAGTTCTTGTTTGGTAACCAGGTGTTTGAATGGACACCTCCCATAAAGGGAAGTGGGTATATACCAATGGGTGGGTGATTTGACCAAGGCCACTCACAAACGCAGCAGAGAAATGAAGAAGCTCTGAGGCTCATTCACAAACCTCCCCTCTAAACAACAGGATTCAAATTCAGGCCCTTAAGTACTAATGTTGTAAACTTTTCCCAGTTGCTGTAGCTATTTAAAATGCTCGCTGTAGTGCATTCATATCCTCTTATTTTGGCCAGCCACGAGAGCAAATCAAAACCACATACTCTGCTATCATAAGCTATACACCCATTAATCCTTTCCACTTTTAAAATGAACTGCATTGAGGCTCTATGAAAATCACAAAGACAATCCCACGCAGTCCTCCCCATCCTTTGGCAAAGAGCATGGGGATGAAATCAGTCAACTTCAGAGCCAGAGCATCTGCTAATAGAATCTGAAATGAAAGCTATCAGCACCACGGACAGAGCTGAAGGCCTTGAAAATGTTCCCTGAAGAAATCGGCTTTTCAGCAGGATTTGGTGCCTAAATCCTCAAGTCCCCTTTGAAAAAGACCATCCTTATCTCAAAAACCTGGGACAAACAGCCATAATCTTGTTACGGCCAAATGAATTTTGCATGGAAAGGACCACTGGGGTTTATTTTTGTATTTTGGACTCATACCAGCTCCCAGTCCAACGATGACTAAGGGCTTCATCTGAAACCTGCTGGAGTCAGAGTCATAGAAAATTAGGGTTGGAAGGTACCTCAAGGGTCATCAAATCCAGCCCCTTGATTAGAGGAGACCCATCCCCAACTATACCACCCCAGCCAAGGCTTTGTCTAGCTGGGTCCTAAAAACCTCCAAGAATAAAGACTTCTGAGTTGAGTCAGTATGATTTGGGCCAGGATGTTGATGATGTGGAAGAACATCATCTGGTTGTGGAAGAACATGATCTGCCTGGAAAGGCAGCAAGGATCCAATCCAGTACTTACCGCAGTCAGTTACAAAACTTCCACTGACTTCATTGACAGTAAGATTATGTCGCCCAAATCAGTCTAAAGCCGGTGGGATTTGGCCTGTTAGCTGCAGTAGGAGAAGGCTCAGAGCATACAATAAGTGGTTAGATGCTAAGATGGATTGTGTTTATAGCAAGGCTCTTTGTACCATTTATCCACTAAGAAGATGTCTTCTTTCACTCTGTAGCTTGCCTTGATATATTCCATTGTTCCACCTATCAGCAGAGCAAACTTAAAAGTATCAAAATAGCTTGGCTAGAGCTAGCTGAGTACTTTGAGTTAATTATTTATGCTATTTGCAAAGCTAAAGGTGGCGTCTTTGTTATGAAATGCCTCTTGTTCTCAGTCTTCTTTGTTTGTGTGTGCATGGCCCTGGATCTGACATAATAAGTGTCGTTCTGCATCCCTTAATTGAGAGCTCATCAGCTTCAGCATACCTGGTCTTTCACATTAAGGCTGGGGCAGGACTTGGCTCATTGGATGATCCTTCAGGGCTGGTCTGAAATGTGCCAGTTACATGTCTGGGGCCTGCCCACGCAGGGAGTTAGTTGGGGAAACATGCTATTTTATTAATTAACTTAATCTGCTTTTAAAAGAGGATTATGCTAAACCAGACTGAGCCACCACCGTGTCCGCACAAGGAGTTTTTACAGCTGTTGCGATTTACTGTACTACGTAATAGTTTCATGGCTAGAAAAACCAGTGCAGTGACTGTAAAAGCCAGCACCATCAATTTGA